AGAAATGATAATAATTCTTTTTGAATATATTCTGATATAGTCATTTAATTTGTGAAATCCACTTGTAGCAGTTCTTCAATAGCTTTTATCCTTGTTTTATGAAACTGTATTTGTGTCTCGTCTCTTTTCTCCTGAGCTTCAATTTGTTCTTTCCACAGAGATATATTAGTAATATTTTTTAATTTATATAAGGGTGACGATGTTATTTTTTGTAAAGATTGTTGTTCTTCTACCCAATCCTTAATTATTAGTTTGTATAGGCTTATGGCCTTGCCTGTGGTCCAGGGTACAAATACTTCTTTATGATATTCTTTGAGTATTTCAATTGCTTCTTCTTCTGAGGGGTTTTCTATATCCCTATGTTTCCTTTTGACTTTAGATCGAAGTCTTCTCACTTTTTCGTAGTTGTAGTTATTGTTTCCACTTCTTTCCCAATATATGGTTCTTAAGGATAAATATAAAAGTAACAATTTATATTTTTCTTTAGTGATTTGGTTTTTATCTTGATCCATTTACTCATGAGAGTGAAATTTAAGTTGTTCGAATTATTCTTCCTTTTATACTTTTTGTAAAGTATAATTGTGATAATTTCTTATCATGGAATTTCATTTATTCAATGATATCTCAATGGGTGATATTTATTTTCTAAATTTGTAATTCTTTATATGGAATTACTAATGTTGTTTATAAATAAGGTTGTGTATAGGTTTCACTAATCCTATCGCTTATCTTTTGTTGTACACGCATATCTGTGCGCTATCAGTTATCTTTTTGTTATTATTAATTTTGTATAATCATTTTCCAATAAATATTTTGATCATTATTTTTGTGTAGCCAGGAGTTACCAATTCCTTTTTATTCATTAGACTTATTGATAATGCTAACTGACTACTATACTAACCAGTCCCTTTTTTACTACCAGGCTGATTGACTTTGTTGGTGGACTTATACACTTGTACCCATGTGTGTTCCTTCAAACTATTAGTTTTAATTCATCTATATCTATATCCCATAGATTATATATTACAGAGTGCCTATATTCTGTTTTCTGCGACAAAGCGTCCTTTACATTTTATAAAATAATATTTTTTCATTATAATATATGTTAATTATATATGTTATATTTATATTAATAATTTTGTTTGTAGATTATCAATCCACTTGGGCGCTAGTGGTTGTTTTGGTGTATGTTGCCCTTTTCCTTAGCATTATTAGTGGATGATTTATCCACATTAATAGAATATTTTTATTAAAATTCCCTTTAAGTAATAAAGTTGGACATCAATGTTTTATTTCTTCGCTGCTATGCTCCTTCCATCGCATAGCGTAATCGTTCTCTTCCAGGATAGGTCATCTTTTGGATCTATTCTTATTTCTTTAGAACGCCTTTTATAAGTTGTGTATATATATTTAATTAAAGTTAATATTAATAGTTGGTGAGGTTCTTGGTGTATTTGGGGTGGTTCTTGTTTTATAGAACTCCTTCTTTGGTATTTCCAATAGGTCAGTTAACCTATTTTCAAATACTGAGTTGCTTCGATTTCTTTTAGTTTTGAAGACATAATTGGTTAATAAATTTTCAATAGCCGTATCGGTTGCTCCTTGTACAGCTTCTTCTTCTGTTGGAAGAATATCTTCCATATCATCTTGTTCGGTTTGTCTACTTCTTTGTTCAATAGCTGCGTACCATGCTGCATTAGCTTTCTTCTTTTTTCCGAGTTCTCTGTCCCGAAATACATATCTAGTGAAAGCTAAAAATTTTTCGAATGTTGTGCATTCTTCAATATGTTGACTTATCAATTCTTCTTTGTGTCGGATGTGGTTGATTACGAAGCTTCTTTCATTTGACATTACTGTTTCCAATACTTGCTATAGGTTATTATTTTCTTCTTTAAGAAATTCAGCTTCTTTTTCCAAAGTTGATAACCTTTCAGCTATTTCATAAATAGTTTCTTGCCATTTTTTAGTTGAAATGTTTTCTTTAGAGATTTTTTCTTTTCCTTTAAATTTTGACGATTCAATTTTCAATACTTCTTGTAAACATTCTGAACATCGTTGGTATTCATTTTGTAAATCATTTTGGCACCAATGATTCTGGCATCTATGGCATGGTATATATTGAAGTATTTTGGTATAATAGCAGTATTCACAGTAATTTTCATTTCCTTTTTTGTAACTCAGGGTTGAGTTATCAAGAACTGAGTTACATCCTCCATTGTATACAATTGGTTGGTTAATTATGACTTTTGAAGCTATATTGGTTTCATCATCGTATTCAATATTGTAGATTCAATTGTCTTCCTTGGCTTTTAGCTATCTTTCTTCTATGTCTTGTTTTTGTAATTCTTTCCATTTTCCTAAATCTTCAATTGATAAATACTTTACTATTTCTTCTTCAAATTTTATTATTCCATCATGAGTGTATACGTCTTCTTGCTTTTCTTCAAGAGCATTTTTTAATTCCAATTCTTCTTGTAGATAAAGATATATTCTTACTATCTTTGAGAAGTTCATATTATATTGATATCCTGCTGTTTAGTAGAGTAGCAGTAATGGTGAATTCGTAATTCGGCACTCATATTTAGATTTGTTTCGGTATCTATATATGCCATCCACACATATTTTTCTTCCATTTCGCAAAAGAAGTTTTGTCCTTCATTTTGCATTTTACTATTTAATCTGGGTGTTTTGCATATGGTACATTTTTTCAGTACTCCTTCTTTATCTAGTTGTTCAAATATTTCTTTTCGTTGCTTATCATATATCGATAATGTTTTGGCGAATATGAATCTACATTCTTTACAATAGAGGTAGTTTATATCTAATTGACTAGTGATTACTTCAAGTTTATTTCTTTCGAGGTATACCATGCATCCACAGCAATGGTATGTATATTTCATTTTGTATGATAATGAAGTTGGTTCTCCTAGATCAATATTTGATAGTATTGACGGTTGCTTTATTACATCCATATTGAAATTTTCTATTTTTATTTTCTATTTGTTTTAATGGACAATTTTTAAAGATGTGTCCTTCTTGATAACAGTAGGTACATTCGTTAGTTCTTTCCCATACTGGTGGTTGGGTTGGTCGTTGACAGTTTATGTCTTTGCATCCTATACTTCTACAGTTTTGATATCTACGGACTTTTGCTAATTGTATATTTACTTGACATTTTTTTCCATAGCATTTGTAGCTGTTGCATGCTAAGCATCAATTAGGGCAATTAGCTTGGGCATGTCCTTGTTTTCCATATTTCATACATATAAAGAGTGGGCAGTCTTTTCGAATATGTACCCTTTTTCTACATTGTGCACAAATTAATAGTGAACAGGTTCGTTGAGTATGTCCTGTTTTATTACAGACTGGGCATTCGTCATTAACTGATTCCAGGTTTGTTTGATTACTTCTTGCATTTCCAGTAATTGTGGTTTCTTTATCGAATAGAGTATTTTCAATAGTTTTTGGGTACAGTACTCCTTGAGATTGTTGAATACTTGGTTGTATTGTGTTTCTGTTAATAACCAAGGTTGCATCATTTGTAGTAGGAATGATTGGATATATATCATAGTTGGTTCCAGTTCTACTAACACTACTTTGATTTTGGTTGGTTTTGAAGCTTGGACTTCTGTCTTCTATTTTTGTGTTTCAATTATTAATTGTTGAATTAATTCTTTACCGGTTAGGTTTGGATTAATAGTTAGGAAAGTTTCTAACTCTTTTCTTTGTTGTTCGTTTGGTCCTAAATATTCTTTCCAATACTTGAATATTGATATTAACTGGTTAGTTAATTCAGGATATGAATTAGGTTTGTTTTGTTCAAATTTGTACTGTAGTACTTTTTCGAGTTCCTCAATCTGCAATTCAAATTGTGTTTTCTTTTGCCAATTATATATTTCGTATATACTCATATGTATACTCTGTTAATTATTGACTCTTGTACTTCTTTGTTTTCAAAGAGATCTTGACTGTTTTTCACTCCTTTAATTTGGTTAACAATTCCAAAATATGTGGTGTTTAGACTAGTGTCTAAGTATAAGTCTTCTGCTAATTCTGTGATTTTTTCAATTAATGTTTCTTTTTCATTTTCAGTTATTGGGATAGTTTTCCTTTGTTCCTTTGTTGAGATAACAAGTTCTTGCTTCAAGAATACTTCTAAGATTTGTTGATTTTTATATTCTTTTCTTGTAAGGAGATTTTGTATGTCGGTTATTATTCCTCATATCCAAAGTTTTGTATTTTGTATTTCTTTGTTTTCTTGACGAGCCATATGATGGTGAGGTTTTTGGTGACTTATTTTCAGAGTTCTTTTATACTTTTAGAGTCACTAATCATTATTCTTGTTTTTGTTTATGTTTATTTATCATCAGATGCGCGTCAGATTTTCATATCAGTTTTAATACGCGTTTCAGGCTTATCTTTGTTTACAATTTCCTTATCTTCAATCAATAATTCATTTCGTAAGCATTGTAACATATTTTCCCGTAAGTCATCATTGTTTTGACGTCTCCAAATGAATTCTAACAGATACGATTGTATCTTAGCTTTAGTTCTATTTCTAGCAGATATTCTGATCTTTATTCTATTTCATGTTTCTTCAATAGTATTTGTGTGAATTCCAGTATCTGGATCTACAAAGTATTCGGAATGATTTACTGTCATGTGCTTAAAGTCAAGCTTATCGTAAATATTTTTGTATGATCTGAAACAATCTGAATAAATAATTAATCCTTGTTCAATATTATCTTTAATTAGTTCCAATAAGGTATCTTCAATTTTATCTGATATTATCGTCGCAAATATTTTTCTATCAGATGTTCTTTCTACTCCTGCAAATATCCATACACCAATAACGGGTTTTCTGCGGTGATACTTGTTTCTTCCCATTTTGGTTTCATCTATCTCTACAATGATATCTTTTTCTCCTATATTTTGTTTATGTTCTTGTATATGAGATCCTATTAGGTTTTTAATATTACTTAAATGGTAACTGATTGTACTTGGATCTTTTTCCATGGTTATCGCAATAGATGTGCTTGGTATCTTTAATAACCAATAATAATATATTTCTAATATTTCATTGACCCATATATTATCTTTTTCAAACTATGAGTTTGTAAATATTGATTGTGATTTTCTACATTTTCGGTTGCCACAAATAAACATTTTGGCATTATCCTGTTTCATTTGTTTTTCACACTTTGGACATTCTAATTCTTGATTAACGATTCTGTTTGCCTGTAAATACAGGATACATTCGGATTCATTTTCCAAGATTTTCTTGATTTCGTATTTTGTCGGGATTCTTTTATTTTTCATTTCTTATTTCTTTCCAATTTATTCCCGGAATTCTTTTTTATAAATTTGGTGGTTTTTCAAGCATTTCTTTTCAATATTCATTTTGATTGTCTTTATATACTTGTTTTCTTTAATATATTTTTATTTAGCAATTATTCTACTTATCCAATTACTCCTTTTCCTTTTTAAGCATTATAGCTTTTACTCTAACTAGTTCCGATATTTCTTTTCTCTTAGATTTCGAAGATTATTGTCATTTCCGCATTGAACTCCATGGTTGCATAATTTATGTTTTCTATCCTTTTGTCAAATATCTTCACGATATTGTTTTTGTTGAAGAACGGAATGGTATCAGTCCCCATCAACGTATAAGCTCTTTTATGGAGAGTATTATTCTTCAAAATTTTACTCTTGATGAGAGTGAGGATGTCTCTATGTTCGACTGGCGCATTTATTGGAATACCTCTTTTAGAGATCATTTTTTTCAAGATGTAGTTGATTGTTGCTGTTATCCTAACGAAACTATTTCTTTAAGATCTCTTGTAAACGATCATCTTTTTGACTTCAAGGTTAATGGTTGTGATGAAGATGAAACTCTTGAATTCCTTATAAATAAATCTCCTTTTGGCGAGATTACTAAATCTGACGATAGTCAAGACGTTTACATTATTTCTAATTCTTCCCTGGATCCTTCACTTCTTGAGGTGTGAATTTTTAAATTCTACTTCTAGGGTTAATAAAGATTTTTATTATTGGTTTATCATCTAACCGGAGTAAGTTAGATAATATCCCTAACTTGCTGTGGTTGTATGTTGGACAAATTTTTAATTCTTTATTTCTTTTAGATGTGAAGAAGTTTTGTTCATAAAAATAGTTTTAACTTTTCCAATTTTTCTATTTCAAGGATTACATAAATAATAATGCAGAGTTACTTTTTGGTAACATTGATTCTTCCATTGCTGGTACCTCTCATAATAATGATTCTGACAACGAGAGTAATAATATGCATCTTGATGGTATCTATTTTTCTCCTTTAACTGGGAAACCTTTGTCTTATTATAATTGTTCTCTTTGTAATCGTTATATTTGTATTTGTACAGATTATTCTTATGACCAAGATGATTCTGATTTCTATACTTATTCTGATTAATTTTCTTCTTCAATTGTAATATTTATCAAATCTTTTAAAGATTTATTTTCTTTATTATTTACAATCCTTGATAATAAATCTGCTGCCTTATTTTTGGCTCCTGGTATCCTATGTATAATATAATTAAATTCTTGTAAATTCATTATCCAATTTTCAATTGTTCTGCTTGTAACAGTTGTTTTCTTTGTTGCGAATATTCCAGTTGCGTCAGTGTAAATATGTATTTCTTGATTGCCAATGTAATGTCGCCATTGTTTTAAGAATGTGTATATTGCATACATTTCTCTTTGTGTTGCAGGCCAATTCTGCTGCATTTGATTTAAGCCTTTTGATCTCATTTTATAATCCGTCTGTTTAAGGCCGGTGGATTATCATAATCTTTTTTGAGTTCTTCTTTTAGAAGTCCTTCTCTAAGTCATTTTTCGGTTTGTTTATAATGTTCCTGTTCTTCATCTTCTTGATATAATATTGCTCCTATGCCTATTTGTGAGGCATCACATTCCATAAAGAAAGGTTTGGATATGAAAGATATATATTTCGTTTAACTTCTTTTTTAAGATTATCGAATGCTGTTTGACATTCATTTGTTTATTTAAATGTGGTATTTCTGGTTAGTTCATATAATGGTGCTGCTATATCAGCAAAGTTTAGTATATATGGTCTGAAGTAATTTATGAATCCCATAAAGGCTTGTACTTCAGTTTTATTGGACGGTACGGTTTTGCTATCAATTAATGCTTCTTTGCTAGCATTTTTCTGTATTTCTTTATGTCAGATTTTGCAATTGAGTATAGTAGTTTCTTCAACTAAGAATTCACATTTGGATAGCTTGAGTTTCAGCCCTGCTTTTTTGAGGATTGCTAAAGTCCACTTTAGTCTTCTTTTCATTTCCTCTGGTGAATTCGCTACTATAGTCATATCATCCATATATATTTTTAACCAATCAAATTGTTTGAATAATTTATTTAATTCAGCTATTAAATATGCTGGTGCAGTTGTTATTCCAAACAGTAACCTTTTCCAAAGGTATATTCCAAATCTTCCGAATCTACTTGCCATATATTTTTGTGATTTTGGGTATACGTTTAATTGCCAATATGCTGATTTTAAATCCATAGTTGTATAGTATTTATATCTACTAATATCTTGTAGGAATTGCATTGTATTTGGTAGTGGTTGTTTAAATTTTACTAAATGTTTATTTAATCTTCTATAGTCTATTACTATAGCTTTTCTTCCATCTTTTTTGGTTATTATTTGTACATTACTTGCCCATTCGCTATACCCAGGATATATTACATTATTTTTTTCTAAATCTTCGCATAATTCTTTAATAATTTTTTCTTCTTCTACAGTATATTTTCTTATTCCTTGATTTTTATCATTATCAGAAATTTCGTGTTCTTTTTTATTCAATATAAATTGAATATCAGGAATTACGTTATTATTTACGAAAGTTCTCATTTCCTGTTTTTCTCTAAATTCATCTATGTATTCTGTTAATACATCTCCAAGTATTTTCCATACTTTATTTCCACATTTTTCTTGTAATATTTTTATTCGTTCTTTTTCAGTTTCTTCTAATTTTTTTGAAGAAAAAAATTCAGGGTCATATCCGATTGTTTCTTTTTCTTCTACTTGTTTTATATTTCCAATATGTTCACCTTTTTTTATTTGAATATTTTTATCACTAATATTCATTGCTAAAATGTAGTCTCTATTGGGTCGTCCTTGTTGTATAGCTAACCCTTTGGCTGCTAATTGTATAGGTGTTCCTACTATTCCGTTTTCTTTTGGGTTTAATATTTTAATACTTATCAGTGTCATAGGGGGTATGACTGTTTCTTTTTTACTAAATATCTTTTCTTTCTCAGTTTTAATAATAGTGAATACTATTTTTCTTTTTTGTCATACAGTTAGGTTATTCAATAGAATATAATTATATTCCCCATCATCATTTATTCCATATCCTTCTTTGTTTTCTTTAAGTTGATTTTCAACTTCTTGTCCAAATCTTTCAATACGATGTTCTTCTAGATCTGCTTCTAATTGTGCTTCTAATTTACTTAATTCTTCTTCTTTGAATTCTTCTAACTCTTGATATACTGCTTCAGGTACATATGTAGTATATGTTTGTCCTTTAAAGGTACCTTGTACTGGCCTATAAGTTGAGGATTGTCCTTCATTATGTACATTATCATAATATGGTATTTATATTTCTTTATTAGAAATTTGGTCTGTATATTTTGAGCTAAGACTTGGGCTTTTATATCTTTGTTGTTTTCTTTCATAAGGATCTGGTGATGGTGTATAACCTCTCTTATTTCTTTTTCGATCAGGTGTACTGTCATTATTTTCAATAGTAGGTGTAGGTGCTCTACTTAGAGTATGTTAACTCAATGGTAAAGGTGTTGTGAATTTATTTTTAATTCCTTGTCCTACGTCTTCGAAGAACTTTGTTACTTTTGTTAATACTCCTTGAGGAATGTCTTCATTCCTTCTAGAAGTTTGTGATAGTCTTTTATTTAAGAATACATCGTCTGTGGGTGAATGTGGTATTCTTATTCTAATTCGTTCATTTTCTTTAACAAATTCTTTATCTCTAGGTATATCATATTGTTCATATGGTTTGTAGGTATTTCTCCCGTGTGGATCGGGTAGTAATATTTGTAGTTTTTCCCTTTTCCTTGCCTTGATGACATCTCCATAAATTCTTCTTTGAATTACTGTATCATCATGTATATCTCCTACTTTTTCTAATTGAGATTCTAAGAATTCTTTGTGTTTTTCATATAATGCCTGTTTTGTAGGTCCATCTTTACAGTGTGCTTGTGCTGTTATTAATGCAATTACTGCTGCTTGTTGTTCAATGAGTCCCATATCATTGAATTCTTCAGCGATTATACCTAATATCCCGTGAATATCTCTATTATATTCTTTTTGAAGTTCTTTTATATCTTCTCGATGTTTCCATATTGTTGCATCATTTGTTTCGTTTAATGTTGACAATACTTCATATAAGTATTCTCTTCGTGTTTCTGCAGGTTTGTTAGTATCTTTAATTTTTGTTACTTTTTGTATTGATTCAAGATATTCTTCTATTTCTTTCTCAGTTAAGCCCTGAGTATAACTGTAAGTTTTATTTATTTGCTCTAATCTCCAATTGAGATCTTGAATTGTTTGTTCAATTTTTGTGTCTTTAGCTATTTCTCCATCAACTATAGCTTTATCCAATCTATTTAACTTTTGTTTAATAATTTGACCCATTTTTCGTAGTTGATCTTTAGGAAGTTCTTCTTCCTTCTTTTTTCCTTTCTTTGAAGGTAATACCTTATTCAAGGTTTCCTCCACTTCTCTATATATTTGATCTAAATGTTTATTATTCAAATTCTTCTGTCTTTTATCTGCAGATTGTTCATTGTTTGCCATAAAGGTTGTTCTTGCTGATCTGTCTGCTAAATCAGATACATCTGGGTCTTCAAATTGAAATCCTAAGGGTATATATATCCCTGATCCTTGGGATCCTGTAATTTTACTTTGTTCTTCATCTTTTTCTTTAGTCCACTCTTGAACGTTATGATCTTTTTCTGTTATAACGTCATTGCATATTCTCGTAATTTCATTACTTCATGTATTTGTGCTATTTGATCTGTTAATTCTATGTTTGGTGTTTCTAGTACCATAGCACAGACCTCGTTGTGCTTTGCTATCATCTGAAATACATCTTGTATAATCATTGCATTTGGATCTAATATGTGTGCATACTTGTCCATTCCTATTCCAAATATCGCTTCCTGGGGATTGTTGTTTACGTGTGCTAATTGTATTTCTTTTCCATACATATAAAGTACATTTTTGTATTCATTTACATGTTTTCCATTTCCTGCTGCATAGAAGCGTTGTGTGTCGAAGCACATTGATATTCTTCTTTTTTCTTTATTTTTATCTTTATACCGTAATCTTTGATCTATACTATTTAGGATATCCATAAGGTCAGCTATCATTGATCTATAGCATTTGGTACTTGCGCTATTTTCCAATAATAGTCCAATTCTTAGATTGTTTTCAATTATTTTCTTTAATATATAATTGATATTTTCTATTATATCTTCTTGATCGCGATCAGTTTTTGTTCCTAGGTGTAGTACACTCCATCGTATATTCATTTTATCAGCGCGTTTTAATTCTTGAATTATTCTTATTATTTTCCAGTTTACCTGTTTATTTCCATTATAATATGTAAATAGTTTATCATTTACATATAATCTCATGTTGTGGTGTAAAACCATTTTTAAATTAATGTTTTTGTTTCTTTCTATTATATTTATATCCTCCTGTTCATCAGGTGTTCCTTCTTTTACTGAATCCAAATATTTTAAGAATATTTGTACTATGTTAGATTGGGTTATAATAGTAGTTTTTACTATTTCATCCCAATGAGCATCGGTTGTTACTCCAATTAACTTGACTCTATTTTCATTTTTTTTAGCAAGTTTTCTAAGCTTTTTAACTTGTTTAAGGAATGACTCTGGTAAGAGATGTGTTATAAATTTCTTACATTTCCTTGGGTTATATTGTTTATCTACTCACTTCTCAGTTGACTCATTTTGTTTTATATTTTCTTTTGAAAACTCTTGTTTAGGTTTTCTTTCTAAGGGCGGTTTTGCTTTCTTCTTCTTTGAGGTATTAGGCTCAACGGCTTTTCCCAATATCATATTGTTATTGATGTGTAATTGGTTGTTAGGGGTTCGGTTTGTTTTGTTTAGGGTATAAGTGATAAGTTTATTCTTTACCACGATATTCGGGGATAGATTTTTACTATCCACGTTGGGCGCCAATGGCAGGTTTTTTTTGCTTTTGCCTGGGGCACTAGTTTTTCGAGCAAGGTAACTAGCTGCACATGATTTGCTCTCTATTAAATATATTTTTGGCTGATTTGTGGTATCAAGTTGGTGTGCTGACCATGAGATCTCTCCTTTTTTATTATAAGGTTCAAGGTGCAATCTAGGTTTCTGTCGTAAAACCAGTATGATAGGTTCGCTTTTTGCACGTCCGTTGTTATGTCTTGGTATGATATTGGTATGTCTCTGATTGTTATAATTTGAGTTTCTCTATTTTCTTTATTCCTATTTGTGCTTGATCTACTTCTGCTAAGAGTATATATGCTGTTCTCCTTCTACTACTGATACTTTGATATAAAATATTAGGTCTTCTATTTGGAGTTTAACTTTTATTTTGCTATAGTTTGTTACATTCATTCCTCCTGGAACTCTTGCAGTTCTAGTTTGTTCTTTATTAAGTTTATCTAATAAGTTCCATTCTTTTGCTACATTATAGGGTATTACACTTGCACTTGCTCCTTTGTCTATGAGTATTTTAATAGATTTATCGTTCATTAATGCTATAAATTCATATGATTTTTTGCCTTTAGGAAATTCTTGAGCTTTATATGCTTCTTTTGGAAAGTAGTATTGTTTTAATAAGTAATAGTATTCTGGATTTTCTTGGTTTTGTTGATACATTTCATTTATAATAGTTTGGTAGAATATTTGTTATATTGATCGTTTTGTAATCTTTTATTTATTTCATTATTAATACATTGTATATTTTGTATACTTTTTTCAAATGTTATAGTATTATAATATTCTTTAGTACTAAGTAGTTTGCTACTTTGGCCTATTTTCTTTGGGATTTTGTCCTGAGTACTACACAGGTTCCCTAGTCGAAATACCGTATTTTGTCAAGGTTTTCTTTAACTTTAGTATGATAAACTATTTCTTCATCACTATTATACTCTTCTTCATTTTCTTCATTATAATGGTTTACTTTTCTTTTGTTATTTCTTTTGTATGAGCTTCTTTCTTTAGGTTTATAATCGTTTCTTTCTTTCTTTTCAGAGTTGTATATTTTGTCTGATTGTTTTTCTTCTTTATAGTTATTAACTCTTCTTCTTGTAAAAGATTTTCTTATACTGTTTTGTGGTCTTCTTCCACCATTGTTTCTATTGTTATTATTGTATCGAGGTCTTCCTCTTCCTTTATTGTTCTTGAAGTTGTTATATTTATGAACCATAGGTGTCGGTCCTTTTGCTCTTTTTCCTTTATAATAATTGGCATTATTGTTTGGACATGTTTTGGTGTGATGTCCATTATCTTTTCACAATATGAACAATATTTTCTTACAAAGGTTTTCCTTTGTTTTTCATTGTAGTTTTTGTAAGTTGATTGTACTCTATTGTATACTTCTCTTCCTTTTCATCTTGGGCATTCTTTTGCAAAGTGTCCTATTTGTCCACATGAGTAGCATTTTCCTTTTTAAGGTTGTTCTGTTTGTACGTTATTTATTTTTTGGGTTCTTTGAGAATAGTGATTCGTTTTTTCATTTTTAGATTTTTCCACTATATCTATTGTTACTCTTGTTGCTCTAAATAGAGAATTAGCTCTTCTAAAGAAATCTTCTTTATTATTTGGTATTGGGGTTGTTAATGTAATTTGTTGAGCTATATTTTTAGGCATTCTTTCTACTAAATATATGTAGTTTCCTCCAAAGAAGTTGGGAGTCCATTGCCAATTTGACAATTGTTTGAGTTTTTTATACTGATTAATTTGTTTTCTTAATCCTGAGTCGTCACTCCAGTCTAGATTTTTGTAAAAGTTGAATTTGAGAAATTCTTTTTGGTTTAATAATTGTACTGAGTCTCTTGTGAAGTTTTCGTCAAATACGTCTCTAAATCCTTTTTGTGCTGTTGCGTCTGTAACATTTGGGTTTATCCTTGTTCCTTCTGCTGTTGCAGAGGCATGCCATGCTCCTGCTGCCTGTAAATAATTTATTACTTTTATCGGATAGTTTTCTGCATCTTTTAAATCATTTGCATTATCTAGGTTGGATCTAAAATAACAGTTTATAGTTGCTATTTCTGTATCAAATACTTCTAATGCATCCTTTCTTAGTTTTGTTCTGATTATTGCAAATACTGTTTGCATTATTTCTGTACTCCATCTGCATTCATATGTATCTGCTGCTGCTGAATTGTAGTTTCTTCCTCTAATGTATATCCTTTTTTGGGTGTTCCTGAGTTATCTTCCGAATATAATTAAGTCTTCTAATCTTAATGCTTTGAATGCATTTTCTAATTGATTTCTTCATTCTCTATATTTTTCAATTGCTCCATCATATTCTAATATTAAGGATGTTAGCCTTTCTAAGTTTTTTGATGATTCAAATTCTGTTATGTTTGCCATTATTCAGGTAATATAGTTGATAGTTGTCCTTGATAGGTGCACTGAGTATGTTTTAACCAATTTTTAATGTTAACCGATTTTCTTGAAATAGTTTCTAAGCTTGTTTTAACTCTTGATCTGTCTGCTATTACTAATGAATATACTAAATATGTTGTTATTTCTTCGTCAGTTAAGTCTTCTAGATCTACTTCTTCTTCTTCAATATAGTTGAAGATTTGTTCCCTGTATTCTTTTTTCTTGAGGTTATAAACTCGGTTTGTTTCTTGTATAGGGTTCCTTTTGGTTATTAAGTTTCTGTTTAAATATTCTTCGATTTTTTGATCAAATTCTTTAAGTTTTTCTTGTAGTTTTGTTTTATGTTCGTCTGATGGTGGATTTGGATATTTGTTAAAGTATTCTTGAAAAACTCTTATGTATGTTTCGTTTCCAATTTCTTCATAGCTCATTAATTATTTTTTAGATAAGTATGGTGCTTTGTCTAATATTTTTTCTATTAACTCTTGTGGTTCGTTGTATTGTTTTGCTTTGGTTGCTAAGTATGGTAACTTGTTTATAGGTAAGGTTCCTTGATTAAATTTCTTTTTGAGTTCTAAATATACGTATAAGTCTGTTGCTTGAGGTACTATTAGTTTTAGGCTTTGTTTAAGTACTGGTGATATTTCTGTTTTTATTTTAATCTGTTTTTGAATTTCTTTTTCTTCTTTAATCACTTTTGGTTTTTTTTCTAATATCTTAGTTACTATCCCTTTATATTTTGTTGTTTTTACTATAAGTTTTTTTAAGTTTTTCGATGCTATCTAGGCAGTTCATTCAGTTTCTTTTGATGATTTACCAATGCAGTTACTTCTTTTGTATGTATAATAGTGTTTGCTATTATAGATATAGTTGTTACTATTGCTATTGATACTATAGTAAGTTGTATAGTTTGGTTGAGATATATAAATGGTTTTTCTGATGCTGCTAATACTATAATGATGTTGTACATCCAAGTTATTGATATGTTTAATGTTGATACTGTATGATCACTGGTTATGATCGTTAGAGTGTTGTCTTGTTGATTATCCACGATTAAGCGTTGTTTCGTATTGCGTTAACGCTATTAACTATTTGTTGTCTTTCAAATTCTTGTTGTTGAACTTGTAGTTTGTTTTGTTTATTTCTGTATCTACAAATTAGTATAGAAGTAGTTATTGCTACTACTATTATGAATATTACTTCTCCTATAAATGTGTCGATTACGTTTGTGTCTTGTAGGTATCCTGGTGTCTGTGTTTGGACTATAGATGGTATTGATGTTGGTGTAAATGTTGTAGTTATGGTACTGATTATTGTGCTAAGTATAATTGATAGTGTAATTGATATTTGTATTATTGACATGTATCAATATCTTGTTCCAAATGTTTGATTGATATACGGTATGTTTGGTATAGTTCTTTATATTACTTCCTCTTGGGTGTATGGAGGTAAGTTTTGGCTACTTGCTTGTTGTTTCTTTTTCTTAAGTTGTTTAAGCTTTGCAATTATAAGTATCAATGCTACTTTTCCTAATATTACTAATATTGTAGTTATTCCTCCAAATACTTCTAAGAGTGTGTTATTATTATTGTCACTATCTAATATTTATTTTTTGAGAAGTTGTAGATGTCTAGGTTTTCTTGGTATTCTTGGTGGAGCTGTGTTATATAGTATAACGAGTCTTGGTGTTATTCCAAATTGTTGATTTAGCTGTTGTTGTAGTTGATTATCAATCGGTATTTGTTGTAATGGTCTTGGTATATTTGGCCTTTGATATTGTATATAAGGTATCACTGGTCTTTGTTGAGGTACAGTTAGTACTCTTGGTGTGATTACTCTTGGTATTCAGTGATGATAGTTAAAGGGTGCAATAGGTCTTAGTGGTGGTCTTTGATAATTATTGTTGGACATATAAAGTTAGATTAATTATTTATTTTGTTTAACAACAAATTGATGTATTGGATTGTTCGAGATATTGGTTTGCTCCAGGGATGGTCTTGTTCATTCGCTTTTTATAGCATTGGTGTTTACAGCAACAATATAAGAATGTTACTAATATTATTGTTATTAATAATTCAATGATTATTCCGTAAAGTAATTGTGTTGCAATTGGATTGTTGTCAATAGTTGTACACATATTGTTGAATGTTATCTGTGTTTGATTATTAGTCATCTATTTCTTTTCAGATTAGTAATGTTTGGTACAGTCTATGATTGTAGATTATGGCTAATGTTATTGTTGTTATCAATATTGTTAATAATAGTATTGTTGTGCTAAGTATCAATATGATATCTATGATCATGGGTTGTTTTGTGTATTAGAGCTATTAATAGTTGATTCTTTTTTGATTGTAGTGTATATTATTAGTGCTATTCCAGATATGCACGTTGTTATTAATATAGTAAGGGATATTGTGATTTGTGTTTCTTCAGGTGTTTTGATTACTAAGATTGTTAATCCTATTGTAAGTATAAGAGTTATTGTAGATATTATTGCTCCTTGTTTAGTAAGCATCTATTGTAAGTATCGTATTGCCTATTTTGGTATTTTAGTTATTTGGTGTATGAGAATTTTTGTTTTTGATCAAGCAGTTCTATTTATACTTTCTAAGAGCTATTTTTACGCGTATAGATTTGTTTGTTGATATCCAGGGGGTTATGTAATTTGATTATTCAGATGATTTACTTGTTGAGTCTTTTTGGCTAATCTTCATTTACAGGTGCAGACAATTGCGGTTATTGTACTTAAGGCAGTTAGAATTGTAATTACTAATGCAATTAGTGTATTTACGGCTTCTGTATCCGTAAAATAATTTGTGTTGGGTTGAGCAGTGATTGTTGCAGAGTTTGTTACAGTTATTGTTGAGGGCGTTGCAGTGGGTGTTACTATTACTACAGGTATTGTTACGTTGATTACTTGTTTTTTAAGGATTTGTATGAGAATTATTAATAGTAAAATGGTCATTTGGAGTATTGTTGTTTTTATTGAGTTTGTTTATGCTTTGCAATCTTGATTTGTAATTATTAATTGTTGTTATCACTAGCGTCAGTAGTTCAGGCTTGTAGTGTCTGGTAGTTACAATGTGGTTGTCTTTTAGGGTAGCTATTCCTATAGTTTTAACTAGTAAGGTAATTTCTTTATGTTTCACTTTGTTGTCAGATTCGATTATTTGTATCTATCCGGTAGATTCGAGGTTATTTTCACTACAGTGTTATCCGTTCAGGTTTAACAAGAGTTGTTTAAGCTCTGTCTGATCTATGCGTTTCACTTTTGTTCTAATAATATAGTATAGTTTAATTAGTGTATTAGTACTTTGTATTTTAGCTTTGATCTTTCTTTGCCAACAGCAGGTATTTAGCATGTAAGCTTTTTCCTCTTTAGTTGGGCGCTATTGGTAAGATACAATTTATTTATGGGTTTTAACGGTAAATATTTATTTTTCCAATTGGTCGTTATTAGTTGCTAATTTCTAACACTTTTTAGTGTTTTTTGGGCGTCTTGGTTATTTCTTTTTATTACAGATTTATTATGTTGTATAGCAAGTGGAATGGTATTCTTGCTTTATGTCGTAGGTTGGCTAAGTCTACTTTAGTTTGCAAAGTTGGATAAGTTCTCTGAGGTATTACTTGTTATATTTCTTGCCGTCTTGCAGGCTCAATATGTAATACAGTCTTTTATTCGTTATGGGATTTATCTTTAATATATATAGGGTTTATTTATGTCAAAGGAATTTATGTTATATAAGGATTATTATGTTGCACGATTATTTCTTTTAAACTTTTAAAGATCAGTTTATTATTTATTTAATTTTAATGTTTGACTATTACATGAAGGTGTTTAAATAATGTTTACTAATTATAAGGGTAATGTTTTATAAGTGTGTTGAGCGCCTTTGTTAAGTATTGTTATACTTGGTCGCCATGATTGTTCTTTTTAATGTTATGTGTTGGTCTTCAACGACTATTATTATTGTTGAATGGTCACGTTGGGCTCAATGTTGTGTTGTTTGACACTTGGGCCGCCAACGGTTAACATTGTTCTTTAATATGTTGGGCGCTAAAGGTATTTATAATATGTGTTGGGCGCCTTTGATTGTTCTTTTATGCCTTGGATATATTGTAGTGGTTGCCAATGGTATAATATAATAATATTAAATAATGAGAATAATATACTTGGCACGGTCTCAAATGTGTTTCAAGTTAATGATACATTTGGTCATTATGTATATGCCTATTATTTGATATATTGGCCATGTTGGGTGCAATAAGGTTTGTAGAGTGGATAGGGTTATTATATTATATTAATAAGGGGTTTGGCTGTTTTTACAGCTGAGCTAAATTCTAAGGAAATTTCACTAATGTTTCAAAGGTGAAAAGCTAGTGCTTTTATACATTCAAGAAGGCTATTCTATTAAATATAAAGCTATTGTAAAGCTATTTTTAAACTATATTTATAATGCTATTTATAAGTTGATAAATATTATGACTAAGTTGATACTACGAATAAGATAAAAAGATGCTATTCTATGATTGCTAATTATTGGTAGTTGCCATTCTGGTATGAGGTTGCCGATTTTGGTAAATCGCATTTTGTATAGGTGTGTTGCACTTATGTGTTACAGGCATGATCGGACGAGATGTCGGGTGTGTTGATCTGTACATCGGAGGCGCTGTTAGAGCCCTATGCGGTGATTCTGATTTTAATCTGTACCGGGTGTTTTGGATGAGACACTTTTAGTGTTAATCATCTCATTGTTAATCCAATTATATCGTACTTGTAGATCAGTTACTTTTCCTTTTCGAAAATATTCATTATAGTATTCAGGTATATATTTGGTAAAGATTTTGTCTTTATAATAATGTAAAGTTGGTGTGAATAAACAGTGTTTACATTCTTTGTGGGTCATCCATTTTCTTGGTTCGGCTTTAGTTTCTTCAGCATTTGTAAATAAATTATATTCTTCCAGTTTTACATAGTATAAGAAAGTTACTATTTCTATACATTTTGTTACATTTGAGATAAAATGAATTTTCCTTATCGCTGGTTTAGTTCCATCTTTGTTTACCGAGAGGTATCGATGATTAAGAATTAATTGCATTCTTTTTTCCTCAGATTGATACCCTGTTTCTTCAATAAATTCTCTCATTGCCGATTCTTTAATAGTTTTGTCATATATTTCCACTCCTCCTC